AGAGCAATCATTAACAAGCAAGGTAGTAGTCTTCTGAATATTTGTATGTGTACATACAAATATGTGTATATAATATTTATATCCTTAAAGATAGACATACATATATCATTTAATTTAATTTATGTAATTGACCACAGCCACAGCCCGTCATGACACTACCAGTGGTGTCCACAGCCCTTGGATCGAAAAGCAGATTACATTTGACAATTGCCAAAATTCAAAGTTGTACATTTGCACTTAACATAGCCAGTTAAACTATGAATTCCAGACATCCACGTATACTACATTCATCCGTCTACGTCTAATCAAAGGTAAACATCCTACATTCAGCATCCTGTTATTGTCTGTGATTAGAACGCTGCTGCATCTATTTATAGATACACCCACAAACAATAGCACTCAGGAATATATATATATATAATAATAAAAGATTTGTTTTTATATCTTGTTGTTTTATAACTTTTATGAATTTTTGAAAAAAATTATCAATAGCAAAAAATTATAAAAAATTATAAAATTTATCAAAAAGATTCAGTCAAATGATTCTTAGAGAAAAAATTTAAAATATAATTTTATTAATAGGGAAAGAAGCAATGACGGGCACCGTCATCAGTGGCGGATCAAGAAATTTGGAATAGAGAACACACAGAGAGGGACCTTGACAGATGGATGGTCCGAACCACCTCAATCCCCCGATGGTTGGGGGCTAAGGTAAGAAAATGTATGATTATGGCACCGCCTCTGGCTAGAAATGGCACTCTCAGACCTCAATCTGAATATGATTTTCTATTTTTCCAATTATTTTCTTATAACTTCGAAAAACTTAGAGGGGGAGGGGGCCAGGCCACCTGAGACTATGCTGAATCTCCCACTGATCGTTTGAGATCTTAATAAAAACACTATAAGCATATTTAATTTTAAAAGGTCATGAGGTTACTAGGAAGGTTCTCAATATCAGGATTCTCAGCTTTAGCTGAAACGGATGTTCAGTAACAAAACATTTGCAGAATATTTAAGCACACTTAATTCAAAAATCCTCTGAGATATATCTTTGTTGTTACTAGCACCAGACTTCCTCTTAAAACAGCAAAAATATAAGACTTATGGTTTTATTTAAAATACTTGTTCTGCTTGAATGATTTCACATGTCAATTTCAAGTGCCATTTAGTCTAACCTTCACAACCGGATACCGAGTGAAAATCTCAAGTCAATCTATACAAATAATAACATCATATTATAATATGAATCAATTTCAGAACTTATGTAAAAGAAAAAAAGTAATGATAAGATAACTGAACACAGAGAGTTAACTATCATTAATCGTGGGATTGATCCAGGATGACTTTGCTGGTGCTAATTTAGGACCTATCAGCTATGTTAGAGGTAGGAAGCTGTGGGTCTTCCCTTGCTTACTGCTGGGTTTCAGAGAGCTATTCTTCAATCAAAGATCCAGAGTTTGAGTCATTCTAATCTATTATCTGAATATCCTTAGTCTTATTTTAAGTTTTTTAACTTGATACCAGGATTCGAGCAGCTTTATCTTTCGCTACCCCCTCAACCTGCCAACTGTTTAATAGATATCAGAGTAAGCTATGTTATAATACGTTGACCAAAAACTTCCAAAGGAACTAGGGTAATAAATTATAATACCCATTTTCAAAATATGAATGTACATTTTTTTCACAGGTTTTTAAAATTAATGTGTTGATGTAGAATTTTAAAGACCCATTTTGTTTTTACACTTTGTAGGGAACATTATTTTCCTGTGGTGGCCATTACAAGTTTAATCGTAACAGTTATCATTAAGCCAAAGCAACACTACACGTGGAGATTATTGCATAGCACTGTCTGAAAATCCTTTAATCTTGATATAAATAAAACATAAACTTTAATCAGTGCAGATCAATTTACATTGCAGATATGTGGAGTATCTACTTGTTTTTCTATAATTTTCATATGTTAAATGATTATTTATCATGTTTATGAAATTTGCATTATACTTTTAAAAATATTACTTATTTTCGATTCCTCTTAACAAGAGATTGTATAAATATATAAACAGGTGCATTTAAGTTTTAACAGGAGGGGACAGGAAATTAATTCATCATAGTGTTGGTCTCTTTTCCCTTCCCTCCTCCTAACAAGAACTTTATTAGCAAACAACAGGTGTATTTAAGTTTAACCAGGAGGGGACAGGATATGACCTCACCACAGGGTCTCTCTTTGACATAACCCACAAACACATTGAGTGATTCTTTATTTACTCTACTGTAACATTTTTACTTGCAACCTTGAATGGAACAAAGACCTACAAAAGCTCACTCCATCAGATTAAACCAGACATTTGAAGAGCATGAGAATACATCATGTAATAAGCACCTGTGCTCTGTTTAATAGGGATCTAAGCAGCTCAATCAATATCCTGCTTGACATTCCCAGGTAAACAGTGCTTCCAAAGCTGCTTCAATAATACAAATCACACCATTGTTAAGCATAAACGGTAAACGATAACACACGCCTGAACATTTTCCAAAATTTTTTGTACCATGTCTGGGCGGCTTTTTATCAAATTCCATTCACAGGGAAAGACTACAGGGTATTAGTATTATCCTGTGTACAATGTCTATAACATATTGACCACATAAATTCTCATAAAATATAACAGCTATGAAAGCATTTCTTAGAGATTAGCAAGGTTAAACCTAAATAATGGAGTATAATATTAACCTCATGAACACAATTATAAAGTAACGATAAAAGGGATATATCGCAACTTACGAAAAATGTCATATTTTTATTCGGCAGACCTGAAACTTTTCCAATTGATTAGACCAGACATTGGTCGCGGTAAAGTTGAATACAACGCCCATTCTTTAAATTCTTTTTGTTTACTGTCGCTAAAATAAACAAACTCGCTAACTGCGGCTAAAAATAGGCAACACCGCGGTCTGCCCCTAAAGAGACACGCCTAGTAGACTGATCAGATTGTTAATTCACAGCGTGAAGACGCACATGTTCCACAGCTGCGGCTAAAAATAGACAACACTGCGGTCCGTCCCTAAAGAGACTCTCTTTGCTAAAAATAACTTGTTGCATCATGCATTACAAGTGGGGCGGTCTTCACATGCGATGGGTGATTGGTTGGATTGGTTGTTGCTGGGCAAAAAATAACCTATGACGTCAAAAAAATTTAGGCAAAGGCTGGCCTAGCTTGAGGTAAAAGACCAAGATATGGCCTCTCTAGCTAGGTGCTTAGTACTAATTAGGGTTCCCTTCCCTTTGATGTTCGAGTAAGCTCTGATTTCTTCACTGTATAATATAGTTTTGGATAGACCATTGAATCGTAGGGCAGTTATTCTAATGCTTCTGCCACCTCACAAAACGATCATCATTTTCATTCTGTTCATGCATGCGGAAATCCCCGGGTATAATCCCACCCCCACCCCCAAAAAAAATCAGGCCAATTCCGCATTCATGTGGTTCATGGGATTATACCCGGGGAACTACGGTAATTAATTTACATATTTTGAAATTATATATAGAGCTATAATATATTTCCTTAAAATTTATATTCATAATTCAAATTACATTATGTCTTTAATAATGGATATCCAATTCTATTGTTACTACATAGGCTCAGCCACCATGTACAACCATTAACTGTGCACTTTTACAATCTCTAACTGGAAACAACACCCTCATATGACCTTCCTGTCTGTGATTCTACACCATAATCGATCTGTTTTCTTTAGAAAGCTTAAATATCATATTAAATACATTAGTTTCAAAATTCTCCTCTCGATACACAAACTGAATTGAGCAGATGTGTAAACATATATTTAAGCATAATTGACCTTTATGTAGGTTGGTCATTATCAGTACAATACTGAATTGTAAACAGGCAACGACAATGCATGGTTTACACATTGTTTATATTATTAACAGCACACAATTTATTCACTCATATACTAGGCGAAAATGTCACATGTCAGGCCCGTAGCCAGCATGCTTGAAGGGGGGTTCTGGGCGCGGGGTCCAGGGGCCCGCCAAAGGGCCCCGGTGGGGTCAAGGGGGGAAAAGCCCCCGAAGCCAGAGCACTTATACGATTTTAAAAGCATGCACATGTCATTTAAATGCATGTTCATGTATATTTAAATACTTCTTACACAATTTTAAAAATAAGATAAGAAGACTACTTTTTCCAATACAGGATTTAGAACGTAAATGTTTATTGTGAAACAAACTTTTTTTATTTTTATTAAAAAGCAATGCTTAACATTTTAATGCTACTATGTAATGTTATCTCTAAAAATATAACTGGGATAATTAGCATTACCCACTAGGTGACTGTACTAAACACAGACCTTCCACATTATGAGATCGCTAAATACCAATATTAAAATATGGAGGTATGTAAAAGGTCTTTGCTTAAAAGAGAAATATTGCAAATAATATCCTATTATCGTTTTCTGGCCAAGTGGGGTTCGCTGGCAAAAGGGGGGTTCGCTGAAAAAGGGGGGTTCGCCCGAACCCCTAAAAACCCCCCTGGCTACGGGCCTGCATGTAATAAGGCCCAAAAATAAATCTGCAAAACTGTTATAAGATCGGGGAAGGGGGAAGAGATACAAAAAGATTTTCATATAGGAATTGAAATTTATCAGAGAAAATTTTTATCTAATCTTCAGCTAGTTTTGGGAAAGATTTACGCTTCACGTTTAAAAAAAAATATTTAAATCAAGAAACATCAAGGGGAGAAAAAAAATGGCATAAAAAAAAGGACATAAGTCTTTTACTGAATG